GGGGGGTAGCTTGGGGGATGTGAACTGAGGGTTGGGGAAGGGAGAAGAATTCTGGGGGGGAAAGTGGGGGATTTGCAGGCAGCAGCAGGCGGGGTAGGGAGTAGGGGGGAGAGTTAAGGGGATTGGGAAAGGAACATGTGGGGCATGAAAGCAGAGAACAATTAATGTGTTATTAGGGAGCAAAATTTGGTCTGGTGTTGAAGAGCACTGGCAAGGGGAGAGGCTGAAAAGGGAGCGGGATTATCTGGGGATAGGGCTGAAGGAGGGGGGAAGTGAACGAGGGACCGTGAGAATTACAGCAGTGATCTGTACTGGACAGTGGAGAACGACCTGGAGTGAGGGGCCTGGGAGTGAAACAGTGGTTGAAGTGGAGGGGAAATGTGGTGTAAGGCTTGTGAAGGGGTTGGAAGAGGGTGAGCTGGAGAAAGGGGGTGAGTATCAGGGCATGGACTGGTAGAAAATTGGTAGTGGAAGCACAGGGACGTGATGTAGCTATTGATGGATAAGTAAATTCACAAAGTGGGAAAGTGAGGGGTCAAGATTTAGTGCCAAGCTGGCACTTCTGGCAAACTTTATTTCTTTAAAAGTCAATTCTGGTAAAAGCAAATTCAGCTGTTACCCAGGAGGTCTTGTCTTCCCTTTCCTGCCCTGCCTGGGAAACGTGTCTACATAGCTCTTTTTCTTTCTCACTAAACTGCCTCCGCTGTGGCCAAATCGATGTTGCTTCCCAGGTGGTTGCATCCCACTGTGCAGTCAGGATCGTACTTGATAATGTCTCAAAGTTACCATGGATATAGGCTTTCTCTTAAAACTCTTTTAGCTGTTGGTCCTCATGCAGCTGCATCATATACCACTAAAATTGATACTGGCTGGAAGTGTTTGCAGTCGATTGTTGGTAAGCTGCTTTGTTTGGGAGAGTTTTAAGCTTTTTATCCCTTTTTCTTCCAGGGTGACGACCGATTGCCATGAGTTCAGCTATTTCCCCCTGATTTGCCGTTTGCCGGGCCGAAGTGCAGTATGGCTACGGAAGCCAAGTACAGCATCGTTCAAGAAGTGGGCCGAGGGAGCTACGGGGTGGTTTATGAGGCCATCGTTAATAAAACTCGAAGCAAAGTAGCTGTAAAAAGGATGCATTGTAACGTGCCTGAAAACGTAGAGCTGGCTCTGCAAGAGTTCTGGGCCCTGCAGAGCATCCAGAGGCAACATGAAAACGTGATCCAGTTGGAGGAGTGCATCCTGCAGAATGGCCAAGTCTTCCAGCCCATTAGTCACCGTTACAGGAAATCAGACAGCCATTTGCTGCTCATTGAGACCTGCCTGAAGGGGCGGAGGTGCATGGATCCCAAATCGGCCTGTTTTCTGTGGTTTGTGATGGAGTTTTGTGACGGTGGCAACATGAATGAATACCTGCTGTCTCGCAGCCCCGACGCTCAGCTGAATAACAGCTTCATGCGGCAGCTCAGCAGCGCCGTGGCTTTCCTGCACAGAAACCAGATAGTGCACAGAGACCTGAAATCTGACAATATTTTGATTTCTCATAGACGTGGAAGTCCCATAGTAAAGGTAAGGGAAGAAAACTTTGCTGTAACATGTGCTCTATGTGCTTAACGCCTCACGTGCTCTGGAATGGGCTTTTGGTAAATCTTGTGATAATAAGTGTGCTCAGAACATCTGATATCAGCCATGGGCTTGTTTTTAGGAGGCTAGGGAGGAAGTAGAGGTCACGATGGTGTTTCTAGAACGTCCTTCATCCACTGCTTATCCTACTGAGAGGAGGAGTTCAGGGCTGTCTAACTTCTGCACGCTAGAAAATCGCAGAGATCACGATCAGTCAAAGATGAAGCAATATTTTCTGTTCCCTTAAAGAACACGCTGCCCTGTTACAACAGCTAGTGCTTCCAATATTGCTGCCTCAAGCACGTACTGATGCTCAGGGGAGGTGGGGAATGTCTTGGTGCTCATGTTGGTGCCCTGATTGAGGTAAAGACTGGCCAGCTGCCTTTCTTACAGCACCAGACTGCAAGTCTATACAGCTGCTTTCCAGAGAGCTGGAAAAGCCGGGAGCCAGCTCGCTCCTGAACTTTCAATCCCAAGAGTTCCTGTAGTTAAACATTAAAAAAAAAATAGGTCTGTGCATTCAGCTAATTCATGACTTGACTGTTCAGATCAATAATGGTGTTTGTACTTCGACCTGTAGAGCCGTCAGGGGACACTTAAATCAATGTCATCTTAATCACTATGGATAATAATGGGAACGCAAGAGATTCCACGCGCTCGCCGTGGAACAGCAAGAGCCACTTTTACCATAGATGTCGTTCAAGGCACGTTTATGCCCAATTAGACGTAATCAGAGTGAACTTCACAGAAAAATAACGGTCGGGTACCTGTTTTGCCCATCTTAGGAAGGGGAACAAACAACAGGAAAGGAGTTGGGGAACAGGCAGCTAACAGGAAATTCCCAGCAATTTGTTTCAGCGGGGTTGCCACCCAAGAAGGGTCCAACGCCGCGGTGGAATTCACTGAGCTGCTGCTTGTAAACACGCTTGGAAACGTGGTGTTTGTGAATAACCTGTTTTGCTTTTCTTTTTGTGCGTTGCAGGTGGCGGATTTTGGCCTCAGCAAGGTGTGTCAGGGGAAAGGGAATGTGAACCAGCATCGCTTCTCCTCTGCGTGCGGGTCAAACTTCTACATGGCTCCGGAAGTTTGGGAAGGGCACTACACGGCGAAGGCTGACATATTCGCCCTTGGGATCATTTTCTGGGCTATGGTCGAGAGGATCACCTTCCGAGATGGGGACACTGAGAAAGAATTGCTCGGTGAGGGTCAGACCAGCACTGTCCTGTTGTCAGTGGACGTTCTGGATCCGTCGGGATCCTCTGAGAGGTGTTCTCCCAGCCCTTAGTTACAAATGCTGTGGTATATATGCTTTGGATGAAGCTTTTTCTAGGAATTTGCAACCCCAAGAACCCCAAAGTCAGGGTTTTTGCAGGGTTTAGCTTTTTGTTTTTAAGGGAACCGCAAAGAAACCTCATTTTCTTCAGCATGCATTGCTCCTAATTTGGTTGCTTCTCACATAGGGTTTCCAGGTCTTGAAGACATATCACTAAGGCAGAGGGAATGCCTTTTATATTTACAAATTGTTATTTTATTTTGAAGATGATTCCTTCTGCCAGATTTTTCAGAAAGACTCTGGAGGTTTTAAAGGTTAAGGGAAAGATCGCTTTTGGCTTCTCTGCTGTCAGGCCCTCCTTATCCTAAGGAATGCTCTTCAAAAATGGATTTGGCCCTTATTGTTGCTAAAAAATTGTAAGGGGACAAAAAAACTCGTAGCTGTTGGTGAGGCATCTGTCTTAGAGCTATGCTCTTTATAAAGGATTTAGCATCTGTATACTTCCATTTGCTCAGAAATGCTTTTAACGCTCCAAAATCCAAAACCTTCCTGGAATTGGGCTTACGGGCTTGCTTGTATCCTTGACTTGGCATAACCAAGGGATAGGAGCACTCGGAGCACTGTTAGGATGTTCCAAGGAGCCAACTAATAAACTGGGAAAGGATGTTTAGATAAGCTTTGGTGCCATCTGGCTGAGTTTCCTCACAGTTTAGAGATGCAAGATCTCACAGGGATGACTCGTCCGATGGCTCGCTCTCGCTCCCTCCCCGCCTCCTCCTTCCTCCAAATCCCCCACGCTTGAAATACTTTATAGTAAATGATTTCAGAAAAGTATACTGCAGTAGAAAATCCATCCTGAGAGGAGAGAATGCCAGTCATGTGCATTAGCATAATAATTGAAGACATTTACCCAGGCTCTGAGATCATAGTATACCTGTCTTTTTTTAAATGTTTAAATTCTTAAAAGGAATTTCTACAGAGGAACTTTGAGAAGCTATTGTGCTACCCCTTTAATTGTTTTTTTTTTCCATCTTCCAAGTAGACTCAGTTCTATTTCTATTATTTATTTCTTTTTTAAAATGCCAAACATTGACAAATGTTTTAGTTCCTGCCTACAGAAACAAGCAAATGGCTGCAGCTGAGACCAAAGCATGAACAGATTTCATTAAAATTGCTACCCGCCAACTTGAGATAAGGAGTTTGTAAGGCCAACCTTTTCTATACACAGACAGGTCACTGCCTTTGAAACATTTATTCTTCGCCTGGTGCAGGGGCAGAACAGCTTGAGTGAGCAAAGCTGTTTTTACTGTCTGTTTTGGAAGCTGGTTAATCATTTTCAATAACCGGTGAAATTATTTAGATTACCAGGAGCAAATTTACATTTCCCCTCCTTAATCTTGCTGAGGAGAAGTTGGCTAAGGGTAAATGGCATATGCTGTCATTTTAATTGAAAAGTGTTTGACTAACTGAGCAAATAAGTTTCGTGTTTAACTCTTTCAAGTCACCTCAGCCAAGCACGGTCTCCCCCCTTCTTCTAGAGCTTCCGAGTCTCCTGGTAGGGTGAAATCGAGTAAAAGGGAGGAAGTTCATCTCAGCAGCCCTTTTTCTCTGCAGATGACCCACAGAACTGCCCGACAAACGTGCCATGCTTAAACTTGCTGCCTGTGTTCCACACACGGTTACACACACAGCCTTGTGCAACATCTCAATTACTGTTTGAAAGTAAAAGCCTCTTCTGATAACAACTTCTCGCAATATTTGACTTGGCGGTTGCCTCTTAATGAGTGATCTTGCTGGTAATCTTTCAGTGTTTTGTTTTCCAGATTGTCTTATCTGTACTGCACACAACAGCATTTCTTGTAGGTTTTTCCTCTACCTCTATAAACTGTCTCCTCCTAATCTGTGTTCAGGAACTTACATCTGCCAAGGCAAGGAGCTTGTTCCCCTCGGAGAAGCATTGCTGGAGAATCCCAACATGAAATTACAAATTCCCCTGAAGAACAAGAAGTCCATGCCGGATGATCTCTGCAAGCTCCTTCATGATATGTTGGCTTTTAACCCAAAGGAAAGATTGGATGCTTTCCAGCTGGAAATCCGAATCAGGCAAATCTCCTACGGCAAAAAGCGCCAACGCTCTGTCTCGTAGAGATGAAGGATGTTCAGGTTAGTGTATCTCTGCCAGGCTGCTCCCTATTTAGTCTGAGCTTACAGGTTTTCTGTTACTGACCTCCAGGCCAAAGCCCTCTGAATCAAATGTGACCTGTAGTGGTTCTGAAAACTAAGCGATAGAAAGATTCAGTCAAACTAGCTGAAGAATAAATGTTTGGGAAAAGGAATTTGGTTGAGGTATGTCTAACAAAAAGACACTTTTGCCTCCTTAATGGTGTGTGTTCAGGGAATTGGCTGTGCTGTCTGTATTTGGGCCAGCCTATCCTTTACCCTAAACTTCACCTCTTTCCACAAATGAGGGCAGATTTCTGCTATCACTCCAGCATTTACCTGCACCTGTCTATTGCTTTTACAATATATTTGCTAACTAAATAAAAGCTGAAGTTACTGTATATTTGTAGGTGTGCACCTTAAATATGGAATTCAGGTATAGTAACTGCCAGATTAAGCCAGTTTTTATTTTTTTTTATTAAAGCACTGTTAATGCTCAGAACATATCTGAGCTGGGTGCAGCAGATGATAGAGGAGCTCCTGTCCTGAACTGTTTAACACATAAAGGCCTTGAAGAATGTCTTGGAAAAGGCTGGACTGGAAGTCTGGTGATCATGCCAAGTCTTGCAGTGAGACTCTTGTTTTTACATTTGGGGAAAAAAAAAAAATGATGCTAATCCTTGTGAGTTCTTGATGGCCTCTTTTAGTATCTGCCTTGATGGAAGTTTGAAAGTCCACCCTAAAATTCAAGATGGTCTGTCAGATTCCATGTCTTTCAGCAATGAACATACAGAAGGGAGTTTCTGCTATTGAGGGCTTCGTATTCTAGAATTTATTTGATAAATGCATCACAGCAGTAAAGGTTTTTGTGTCTGATACTGTCACTGAGACTGAACATCTGGCTGTCCTTCCAACCAAGGACATTGTCCTTTGCAACACAAAGGTGTTTCTGATCAGTTTAATACTCTTGATCGTGCGACAGACTTGTCCTTTTTAGCTTAAAACATTCTTCTCCTTCCCAGGTGTTTGCCCATTCTGAAACTATTTTATAGAGAACAATTGTAACCTCAGCAGCGTTTCTTCCTGTCCAGGGTTGGTGGGTGGGTTCCATCCAGGTTGGTTCCTCCATGATTTCTGCACTTACTCTAGACGAGTCTCTTCAGGCCCTTGGAAAGCACTAGCACTTACTGTCTCCTCTGGAAATATTCCTCCTGATGTGTTCCAACATCACATCTCTCCTTTCATATCTGTATCACTTAATCCTCTCATAATTACTTTGTATCCTACAGCCCTTTTTGACTTCAGTTGCTTCAAATCAGTAACACTCTGGGTTACAGCAGTTACTTCTGTTGACAGATGTGTGACCTTATGTTTTCTATTACCCAGTTTCAGCCCCTGTCAGTTAGAAGAAACGGTGAACGACCCTGAATATTTCCTCATCCTTTTTTTATAACTGTCATACTTCCAGCCTTGTGTCATTGGCACACTTCTAATTGTGCTAAGGCTGTTAGTGAAAGCATTAATTAAACCAGTCCGTTGCCAGTGCCAATCTTGATAAAACTCTACTCCAGCCTCTTTGTTTCCAAATTACTCATTTCAGTTTTCCCTTGGGACAGGTTATCTGCCTTACACCTTCCTTTTTACTAATCCCAGTCTTCTCCTGTCTAATCTAATCCTTTCTGGTGTGGAACTACACCCCATGTTTTACTGACATCTCAGTGGACAAGACTAACTCTGCTTTTTCTCTTGAAAAATTAGTTTTATCGCTGAAAACTACTCGATTAGCCTGGCGGGATCTGCAGTTCTGGGGCCTGCCACCTGACACAGGAGGCCTGGCATACTCTAAGAGCAACAGTACCACTAGTTGGCAGGCCAGCCCTGAAGTGGTTAGCTTGCTATAGAGGAATTTGCAAGGATAAAGAGGAAAAAAGGCTCTTAGCAGTGCAGTGTCAGGCTTACTACTGTTGACTTTCCTTTTTTCATTACGAAACCGCGGTGGTAAATAGGTTTGCAGACTAGGCGCGGAAGAAAAACACCAGCACAGCCAGGACACATCCCTGAAAACCCCCGTCTGCCTCAATCCATTTCTTTTCGTGTCCGGTGGGAAGCTGGCTGAATACCTCCTCGCTCTGGGGAGTGACTGCAGCAATGACTTGTGGCACAGCGCTCCACAGTGTCACGCTGTCAGCAACGCTGTCGGCTGCTGCCTTAGTATGGGCTGAAATGCAAACCAACTCGCCTCTCTAAAACGGGTTTTTTTCCATAATTCTTTGTTATCACAGGGAAATGATCTCTACAGCACAGGGCAGCCAAATGCTAAATCTCCTCAGAACAGCATGAAAAAACATCTAAATGCCTTTTCTTTCATGAATTCAAAGACCAGGATATGGATATAACCTGTGATTTAGGCAGTCCTTAGGTTAAGTGTTGCTCAGAACGGGGATTTTTCCTGAGGAAAACCAGCTTGTGTACCTGCCCTCTGCTCTTCCCTCAGTGTAGACGATGTCCCTGAGGCAGAACTGTGGGCTGGGGACCTGTGGTATGGGCCAGCTCTCTTGCCAAGAAGTATTTAATTTTGCCATTTTGGCACGTTTCCTTCGCAGGTATCGTGCCCCGCTGTGATCTGGAGGCCTTGGAGGTGGCGAACAACTCTGCTTTCCCTTGGAATGAGGGGGTTGATCAGAAGAGTGCTGCCGACTTCCAGTTTTCCCCAAACGGTTATATTTAAATGGACAATAATTTTATTTATTTGTACAGTAATTTTAAGAGGAGAACTACCAAAACAAAATAATCTATTTTTATAAAAACACCGAAGGTTTGCATACCTGCCACCTTTTAGGCAGTGAGTAGTGTAGGTGAAAACTTGGCTGAGGTGACCTTGACTGTCTGGCCGTAACACGGGCGCATTTGTAGAGGAGTTTCTGAACTCGCTCTTTTTAAAACAACCCTCACGTGTCCTTTTGGTGCCAAGCTGCGACTGCCCTTTCAAAGGATGGCAAAGAAACGTGCAGAAACCCTCTGGAGAAGGGCTTCTCTGCCCCTTTGCGTGCTGACTGCCTTTCCAGCCCTGGCTTCTCACAGCTAATGCCGTGGTGCTTGTCCTTGGCACAGAAGCTGTCTTTAGGAGGTTTAATTAGAGCTTTTTTTGTGTGTGTGTGTGTGTAATTGTTCACTCCCTGTTGCTTGGCCACGTAACTGAGTGATGTCTGCTGGATGAGCTGGCAAAGTGTTCAGTGTCTATTCTGAAAAGTTAGAGCAGAAACAAAAATGTATTTTCTTCACAGTAGCTTTTGAATATTCTTGCTTAGATTAACTAAAATGCTTTCTTAAAATAAATACAAAGAATGTTAAAGATTCCAACTCTTGATTAGAACGTATGCGTCACTAACACTTAAAGTAGTTTAAGGAATCATGCTTCCTGCTGTGTTAGCTGCTTGTGCCAGCTGTTCTTACAAGGGAAATGAAAAGGACTGAACTGGAATCTTGGCAGGTAAATGGGGAGTATAATTTGCACCCTGTTGGAAAAATATTTTAATGTATCTGTAAATATTGCCCATCTTTGCTTTTCTTAAGGAGCTGGGACCTCCTGGCAGAGGTTCGTGCGATGCTCCTCTGTTGTGCCGAGGTGAAATAGCGTCCTTCAGGGACAGCTTCTTTCTGTAAGAAAGCAATAAATTGCTAAAAGAACGATAAGATGGTGAGCCCCTCTGTGCCACCTATGCCACACAGAGGACAGAAATACAGCTAGTTCTGTTAGAAACAGATTCTATATTTCTTCCCCCTGTCCTACTCTACCAGGATTGTGGCTGCAATATAAAAAGACTTAAAAGTGATGTGTCATAAGCTAAATTCATGGAGAGGATCTTTCTTCCTGCCAGGACTTTATCCAGAGGCTCCACTGACCTTCCGTGGGAGAGCGTAACGTTTTCTCACCTGCTCCTCCAGGCTGTAAAATATATTTGTCCTGCACAAATAACCATTAATTGGCTTCTGTCCCTGCAACAGATAAACGGGTGACCGGAGAGGAGTGGTCTTTGAAAAGAGCTGTTGTGGGAACGTATAAAAATTAATTGCAATAGTTAAACTTGACTTTTTCATTTAGCGAATCCAGTTTTGAATTTCGAGAGCCCAACAGTGCGCCGTTGGGACAGCAATAGACACGGTTGCTTTGAAGCTCATTCAGCTTCTCTCACCTCTGTGCAGATTTTAGGTGGAAACGTGCTGGAAATGGGTGTTTGGATCTTTCGTTTTTAAAAGCCACAGTCGCGGGCTTTGCTCTTCTGGTCGGAGCCAGGCCTGGTTTGACTGCAGCTTTACACCCGTTTTACCCACTTCTCACTGTTGCCTCCATTTTTAACTCATCTTGGACTTCTGGGGAATCATAACTTAGGGCTGTATGCTGGATTTTCCTTCCTCTGTTATAAATATTTTCCTGCTTTGCAGAGCTGCTCTTCTGAACTAAGATTTCTTCAACCTTCTTTTTTTAATCCTGTAGCTGCCACTGCTTTGTTGTCTGCTTTCTGCCACCTCTCCTCAGAGCATGCCGGTGGTCTTCCAGGGCTGTTTTTAGTGGAGTCCAGGGCCGTTTTTCTGGAGTAGAGACAGGTCTGCACACCCTCACAGCACGTGAGAACGTTGCAGGGCACAAGAAGGGCTGTTTACTCATTTTCTTCCTTGTTTTGCCGTGCTAGGCGAGTATCCTCACAGCTGCTAGATATTTTTAGCTAGTCTGTACATATGCTTTAATCACTTGGAACTTTGTACTTTATAAATTAATAAAACGCTGTGGTTTTTTTACTAATGCATTTTAAAAGTGTGGTGGTAATGCTGAGAATCTCTTTAGAATCATGTGACGCTTTTTTTTTTTTTATTAAGGTACCACAAGTTTGTAAGTCTAACACCTAGTGAATTGGTAAATGAACACAGGCTATGACAGCCTCTAATTTAAGTGACTGCTTCTTAGAGAAAGGGGCGGTGGGAGCTCTCTGAAAACAAGCTTGATTTATTCAAAAGTGATCTAAAAGGGTAAATGTAATGTCTATAGCTGAGAAAGGAACAGAATAAAACGGGAGAGTGCATGAATCCGTGTATTCTGTTTCAAAAGCTGCGTGCAGCTCATTAATAGTAATATAGCTGAGAAAAAAAAAAAAGGAAAAATAAATCTGTCAAAAAACTACAGTTTGGGAATGGAGGGATGGGGCATTTGTTAAATTAAATACGTTATGGAGAAAACAAACTTCATGGAGTGGACGTTTCCCCCCCTTGTGCTACGAGAACTAAGGGGGTGCCTGGTGGCAGTGCAGGTTTCCCAGCAGACAGCACATTGCTGAGCTCTCTGGTGTCAGCAGATGGGCTTAAATCACACCAATTTGTGGAAAATAAATCTGGGAATGGTGGTTTCGAGCGACCTCTGGTTCAGGGGGTTCCTAAACACGCTGCTGTCCTCCCTTCCCACCATAAACCGCTGAACCCTGAACGTTGCCACCCACCGCTCCGGTTGTGGTGAAGTAGCTGGCTTTGGATGAAAACTGCTGCTTTTGGTGGCTGGAGGAAGATGTTTGATGGTGCTGTGGTAGCTCCTCATGTGATTTCATGGTTTAGGAAGAGAACGGTGCCGTCGAGCATGTCACGGGGTGACAGGGCTGCGAGCATGTGCCTTGGCTCAGCACCTGGCTCCCAGGGCTTTGACTCTGTTGATTTTTCCCTAGGTCAGAACACAAACAGCAGTGACTAAGGATCTACCACTCCATTTTCATTTCTTTTTTTTTTTTTTTTAAATCTATGGTCATTATCTCTCCTGAAGAAAAAAAGAACGGGGAGGAATGTGGATCTGTGATTCAGCTTTGCATTTCAAGCAAACTGATAGCGGAGGTGAAGCTTTGTTCTGCTTTGGTGGGGGAAAAAAATGTGTAAGTTCTCCATTTTTATTCTCTCCCCTGAAATGAGCCTCATGTGCATCGGAGAGGTTTGTTAGAGTGGCCTCTCTAAATGCTGGAGTTGTCCATCGAGGCAGGCACTTAAATGGATTTGTTTGGATTAAGGATGCTTCAGACTAGTTAATTTTTTTCAGTGGGACAAATAACATCCCTCACAGAGATGCAAGATAGTCAGGGGCTGAATTTAGCTGGGAAAAAATTAAATATTTGCTGCCGTCCCCAGTCAGGATCAAGTCAGTCAGTACTATTCTATTTTTCTCTAAAATTAAGCATTGCCTCTGAATCATTCATTAGCAGAATCCTCCATTAATCATCAGTCCCAGCACATCACACGTCTGTGGGGTTTTTTTTTTTCCTCTGTCTCTTAAATACATCATGGTAGCTGGTAGTCTTACAGCTGGTTTTTGGAACTAAATAAATTCACAGGTCTGTTAATCATGAAGACTAATGAGGGCGCTCCGTCCGCCTGACACCGAGCAGTTATCTGCAGGCAACCAACGTGCCGAAGGGGTGGCTGGAGGCGCAGAGGGTTCCAAGGGGGGACACGGGAGCTCCTTCCATGAAGTGTCTCATCGCAGCGGGGGCTCGGCATGAGATAAGGAAAGATTTGCCAACCTGCGCTTGAGGTTTGGGAAGGAGGAGGGACGGGAGGTGTGGCTTCCTGGGGAGCTGCCGGTCAGAGAGGGGCTGGGGGGTGAGAATGAGCCAGAGTGTGCCCAGGGGGCCAAGGAGGGCAACGGCATCCTGGCTTGTGTCAGCCCTGGCGTGGCCAGCAGGGACAGGGAAGGGATCTGAGCCCTGGGCTCGGCACTGGGGAGGCCGCCCCTCGATTCCTGGGTTCAGTTTTGGGCCCCTCACCCCAAAAAGGCCATTGAATGACTCGAGCGTGGCCAGAGAAGGGCAACGGAGCTGGGGCAGGGTCTGGAGCACAGGTCTGCTGGGGAGCGGCTGGGGGAACTGGGGGGTTCAGTCTGGAGCAGAGGAGGCTGAGGGGAGACCTCCTGGCCCTCGGCAACTCCCTGCCAGGAGGCTGTCTCGAGGGGGGATGAGTCTCTGGAGCCAAGGCCCCAGCGCCAGGCCCCGAGGGAATGGCCTCAAGCTGCCCAGGGCAGGGTCAGGCTGGCTCTGAGGAAGGATTTCTGTGCAGAAGGGGCTGTTGGGCGTTGGAATGGGCTGCCCAGGGCAGGGGGGAGTCCCCGGGATCCCTGGAGGGGTTGAAGAGTCGGGCTGAGCCAGCGCTGAGGGATCTGGGGGAGTTGGGAACGGTCAGGGGGAGGGTCATGGTGGGGCTGGAGGAGCTGCGAGGGCTTTTCCAACCCAGATGGTTCTGGGGTTGGTCTCGGTGAAAGCTGCAGGCCGTGGCAGTGGTGCTCCCGATTGATCAGCTGGGGACGTTCCCCTTGTAAAAGGTGCAGAGGAGGAATTTAATTTCTTCATGGCTGGAGAGGTAAGAACGAAGTTATTGACTTGTGTGGGTGCAGAAGTGAACTGGCGTCACTCGTGGACTGACTGAATTTAGAGAAATAGTTTTGCAAAATAAGGAGAACGGGGAAGCCTGCAGCTTAATCCATCGGAGCTGGACACAGACTGTTTCCTAATTCAATCCCTCAGCCCTGGAATGCTCAGTTCACCATCACCGGTCCTCCTCCCTCACCCTAAAGTGAACACGTTGCTCCTTTGTTCTGTTCACTGGCTGCTGCCTTCCCCCACCAAAGGCGGCTGTTTCCACGTAAACCACTAATGTTTTATCTGCATTCTGTTTGCTAAGCTCGGCCCAGGTACTCTCCCGGGTGAAATGTAGAGACATCTGCGTGCCACGGCTGCCGCTGCGCAGGAACATCACAGAGAGGGTTTGAGAAGGTACCGAGCTCGTGCTGTTCAACCTGTCAGTCCCTGTTGTTCTTTCAAGATTCTTCGTGCGCTCTTAATGGATTTTTTGCTGAGGCTTTTTGAAGGCGGAAGGAGCACTTTGCTCCCTTTTAAGCTTGCTTAGCTTTCCTTTATCCTCAAAGAGCTGCAGGATCTGAGGATTTAGATTAAATTGTTTTAAAATGGAAACAATGTGCTGGCGTTATTCAAAGGCCGGGTTTTTCAGGAGGATGAGCGAGAGGGATGGTGGAAGCTGCTGTCCCACCACCCGCTCAGGGACACACAGGGACACAAAACCCAAAAGTCATCAACACTTGCCCTCTTGCAGCTTCCCCAGAAAGTTTGAGGTTTAAGTTTTAGAGAAAGTGGTTTTTAAAGTCTTGCAAGCTGCGCTGAGCTGTGATGTTGGTCCCACAGGGCCGGGACCAAGACACTAATCCCAGCAAACCTTCTGTTGGCTCCTGAGCAAATAGAGGCATCCAGGTTTAATTAATGAAAATATACTGACAGGAAATAAATTTATAAACTGCCCTGATACGTGCCATAATGTGGGAGTTTGAAATCCCAGCGGTAGAGGAAGGGGAAGGGTCTCCTGAGGATGTTCCTGCGTGAGGGACGCGTGTCCCAGAGCAGATACTGAGCTGGTTTCACCACTGGCTTCCTGGGAAGTGACCTGAAAGGGCTGCGGGATGCATCGGGTCCTTCAGGATTGAACATATGAATCTGTGAGGCTTATACAGCCTATATGTGAGGTTTGGACCTAGATCTAGTGCCCAAGAACAACAGCTGCCAGAACAAAGCTTGTGTTTAATTTTCATCAGGCTCTCAGGTGGATTTGGACAAAAACTAGATGCGTGTAGATTTTTGAGAGGAAGCAGCAACAAAAAGGGGCATCTACAGAGGAATTTGTACACATTGATTTAGGAGTTTAGGGGTGGTTTTTTTAACCTTTTCCATTAAAACAACACCAACTTCTGCCAAGGATGTGTGCTGAATGAATTCACCTGTCAGTTTGTGACCGAGTAGTCTCAGCCTTTTGCTTACGTGAAAAGACTGAGGCTGAAACCACCACGTTTGGCTTTATCCCACCATTATAAACAAACTGAAAGAGGGAAAAAAAAAAAAATATATATATATATATAAGGCCAAGTGTGTTGCCACAAGAGTTAAAAAGCACCAGAGCTGTGAGTCAGGGCAGGGCCTGGGGACCTTCACAGGGGGACTCTGAGCATAGAGGGGGGGACAGAGAGGGGCAGCAGGCAGAGATGTCGATAAAGCGATGCCAAACCACTTCTCTCCCAGTTGGAAAAGGACTCGAGATGAGCCCAAAGACTTGGTGCTGCTGTTCACCCGAGGCCTGAGCGGTGCCGTTTTACCTCGACTTTGTTTTTTCCAAACTACCAACTCCTTATTAAACAAAGCCGATGAGCGCAGCCGGATCATGACTGCTGTATTTTTTTTTAAATCAGGCTCCTTTCTGGCTCCTGCTTCTCTTGATTTAATTTTCTCCTTTTCTTACAAATTTGCTGCAGATTCCCCGAGCCCCTGGCGTGACTGCTTATTGCACTGAAGGCAGGAGGCAGCCCCTGCTGCTGCCACACGAAGGATGTGAGCGAAGAAAAAAAACCCCAAAATCTGAGCTGGCAGAAGGGGATTGATTCTTGAGAGCAGGTCAGATCTCTGCCACCCTGCACTGCTGGTAGTACCTGGCCTCCCCAGAAAGGCTGCCCAGGGTCACTAGGTATTTCTGGGTTAATTGCCTTTTATTTTTTCTCTATTTCTCTTTGTTGTTTGGTTGTTGTTTTTTTTTTTCCCCAGTTCACTTGCTCTGTACTGAATAGAGCTGATGGGGTCTCAGAAACCAGTGCTGGTAATTGTGGCTTTACAGCCAGATGTAGGATGTGCCGAACTAGGATCTGTAAACAGATTTATTTTCCCCAAACTGAGCAGCATCTATTCTGCTAAATTCAACCCTTTCAAAGCTAGAAGGGTCTACTGGATGTAAAAATTACCCCTAACATTAATGACAGCAGAGCAGCTGAGCTGCTCAGATCCTACTTCACCACGTTCATCTTGGTGTCCTCTCATTTTACAGCTCAGGTCCTGTAATGGTGGGGCCTCAACTTGGCCATCTTGGGCTTGACCACCTCAGGTTTTTGAGATACCTCCCAGCTGCTCTTCAGTTTCCAGTTTCCTGCTGCTGTAGGCTGCAGTCAGACATCCTTCTCCTCGAGTCAGCTCTTCCACCTCGCAGGAGTTACTGGCCGGAGTCGTTCAGCACCAGCTCTCTGCCAAAAAGCATCGGCATGTCAGTTCCCGTGGCTCCCAGCAACAGCTCT